AATCCTTATTGAGGTTACAGGGACAAACCATCCCAATGTGTAGAAAGAATAGTAAATATGGCAGGTGACCAGCTTGGCTTCACAGTGAAATCCTTGCTGATCTTAAACACAAAAAAGAAGCTTACAAGAAGTGGAAGATTGGACAAATGACCAGGGAAGAGTATACAAATATTGCTCGGGGATGCAGGAGTGAAATCAGGAAGGCCAAATAAAACTTGGAGTTGCAGCTAGCAAGAGATGTTAAAAGTAACAAGAAGGGTTTCTTCAGGTATGTTAGCAACAAGAAGAAAGTCAAGGGAAGTGTGGGCCCCTTACTGAATGAGGGAGGCAACCTAGTGACAGAGGATGTGGAAAAAGCTAATATACTCAATGCTTTTTTTGCCTCTGTCTTCATGAACAAGGTCAGCTCCCAGACTACTGCACTGGGCAGCACAGCATGGGGAGGAGGTGACCAGCCCTCTGTGGAGAAAGAAGTGGTTCGGGACTATTTAGAAAAGCTGGACGAGCACAAGTCCATGGGGCCGGATGCGCTGCATCCAAGAGTGCTAAAGGAGTTGGCGGATGTGATTGCAGAGCCATTGGCCATTATCTTTGAAAACTCATGGCGATCCAGGGAAGTCCCGGACGACTGGAAAAAGGCTAATGTAGTGCCCATCTTTACAAAAGGGAAGAAGGAGGATATGGGGAACTACAGGCCAGTCAGCCTCACCTCAGTCCCTGGAAAAATCACAGAGCAGGTCCTCAAGGAATCCATTCTGAAGCACTTAGAGGAGAGGAAAGTGATCAGGAACAGTCAGCATGGATTCACTAAGGGCAAGTCATGCCTGACTAATCTAATTGCTTTCTATGATGAAATAACTGGCTCTGTGGATGAGGGGAAAGCGGTGGACGTGTTGTTCCTTGACTTTAGCAAAGCTTTTGACACGGTCTCCAACAGTATTCTTGCCAGCAAGTTAAAGAAGTATGGGCTGGATGAATGAAAGGAGGATAGAAAGTTGGCTAGATTGTCAGGCTCAATGGGTAGTGATCAATGGCTCCATGTCTAGTTGGCAGCCGGTATCAAGTGGAGTGCCCCAAGGGTCGATACTCGGGCTGGTTTTGTTCAATATCTTCATAAATGATCTGGAGGATGGTGTGGATTGCACCCTCAGCAAGTTTGCAGATGACACTAAACTGGGAGGAGAGGTAGAATTGCTGGAGGGTAGGGATAGGATACAGAGGGACCTAGACAAATTAGAGGATTGGGCCAAAAGAAATCTGATGACGTTCAACAAGGACAAGTGCAGAGTCCTGCACTTAGGACGGAAGAATCCCATGCACCGTTACAGACTAGGGACCGAAGGGCTCGGCAGCAGTTCTGCAGAAAAGGACCTAGGGGTTACAGTGGATGAGAAGCTGGATATGAGTCAACAGTGTGCCCTTGTTGCCAAGAAGGCCAATGGCATTTTGGGATGTATATGTAGGGGCATTGCCAGCAGATCGAGGGATGTGATCATTCCCCTCTATTCGACATTGGTGAGGCCTCATCTGGAGTACTGTGTCCAGTTTTGGGCCCCACACTACAAGAAGGATGTGGAAAAATTGGAAAGAGTCCAGGGGAGGGCAACAAAAATGATTAGGGGACTGGAACACATGACTTACGAGGAGAGGCTGAGGGAACTGGGATTGTTTAGTCTGCGGAAGAGAAGAATGAGGGGGGATTTGATAGCTGCGTTCAACTACCTGAAAGGGGGTTCCAAAGAGGATGGATCTAGATTGTTCTCAGTGGTAGCTGATGACAGAACAAGGAGTAATGGTCTCAAGTTGCAGTGGGGGAGGTCTAAATTGGATATTAGGAAAACCTTTTTCTCTAGGAGGGTGGTGAAACACTGGAATGCGTTACCTAGGGAGGTGGTGGAATCTCCTTCCTTAGATATTTTTAAGGTCAGGCTTGACAAAGCCCTGGCTGGGATGATTTAGTTGGGATTGGTCCTGCTTTGAGCAGGGATTTGGACTAGATGACCTCCTGAGGTCCCTTCCAACCCTGATATTCTATGATTCTATGAATTTATTGTAATGACACTGGTAAGGAAACACTATGACTATTTTTAAAAGCCACGTACTCTCAGCTTTGAAACAACATTTTGGTTTTCCTTACCCCTTAACTCATACTTTACTCAAAATATTTTTAACGTAAGACCTTTCAACTGAAGGGCCACTGGCCACAGCTCAGAATAGCAACATCCAGGCGGGACTCACCTAGTTCTGCAATATCACCACTGGCATGTCCTTTAAAACCCTAGTGTATTTTTGAAACAGAAAGGCCCTTTGCTTTCCCCCAAGTATTATGTCACTAAGTTCCACTACTGCAGTGATTAGACATTGCACATGAACTGGAGAGCAGCCAGCATCTCTCACTTTCATTATCTCATAACCTCAACTGGAATCAGTTATTTTTGGACTCCTCAGATAGGAACATTGAAGCACTGAGGCAAAGAGACACTGGGGTCATTTAAAAAGTGTGTGGCAAAACCCTGAATGCCCAGGTTTTCTGACTTCCAGCCATGTGGCTTTCATCTCTGGGTAATCAGGCAAAATCTGGCACAGGACAGCAATGACTAAAACCAGTTACCATCCAATGGCTGCTTTGTAGCCCATGTGGAGAGTGTCTCATTCTAAGGGGACATCACAATTGTTAAGTACTAGCATCCACCATTGAAAAGCCTACATGCTGGGCATGGAAGTGGAATCCTATTCTTTGTGTGGATGTGTCTGGTCCGGACTGATGTTCATTAGTTGGGTGGCACTGCCAGGGGGAACTCACCCACAGTGTACCAGAACAACAGGTAGAGCAAGTTGGTTTCTCCAGCTCTCAATACGTCACTTTCACAAACACCCAATCTTCTCTACATCTATAACTGCCAGGAAACCCAGTTACATCCTAGTGGGTCCTGATGCTTTTCTGTAGACACGCTCTAACTGTGGGTATGTCTACATTGCAATCAGGAGGTGTGACTGCAGCACCAGTATCTAGCTAGCTCAGGTAACAATAGCAGTGAAGCTGGGACAGCATGGGCAGCAGCTGTGCAAGTACATACCCAGGGTCCTAAGAGGGCAGGGCTAGGCCCCTGGCATCCACCCCGCTGCCATGGCTTCACTGCTATCGTTACTCAAGCCACCTTTGATCTAGCTATGTCTACACATGCTGCAATCACCCCTCCCAATCGCAATATAGACATGGCCAGTCCAAAAGACACAGAATATGATGTTAGCCCAATTACAGGGATATAAGTAGGCCCGGACAATACTGCAACTTTTGCACATGTAACAGTCAGGTAACAACAACTATGCTTGTAACCAGAACCCACGGCTCAGTTATGGCTGCAGTGCAACAAAAGGAAGGTGGGGATTTTAAGGTGCCACAAGTACTCCTTTTCTATCTACAGTACAGGCACTGTATGGAAGTTCCCTTCTGTCTGCCGAGACCCCACAAGATCTGTCTCTCTAGATTTGGTCAGGTAAGGTCAGGCAAGCTCTAGCTAATGCAGTTTCATGGTCTGTTTCCCATAGCCTTTCAACTGTCCTCTCATTCTACTCTTCCAGCCCCTGCTAATTTTTCCTTGACTTAGAGATGTCTCACTGCCAGGGCCGGCTCCAGGCACCAGCGAACCAAGCAGGTGCCTGGGGCGGCCAATGTAAAGGGGCGGCAGGACGTCGGGCTCTGGGGCGGCAATCCGCCCGCGGCGGTGGCAGGAATTCAGCGGCCGCTCCGTCAGAGCGCGTTTTGTGCTGGGCGGCAGGGACACAACTCTTCTTCAGTCGCCGGCAGCAATTCCGCGGCCGCACCTTCACTCCACCTCTGTGTTCGGCGGCAAGGGGTTTTTTTTTTTTTTTTTTTTGCCACTTGGGGCGGCAAAAACGCTGGAGCCGGCCCTGCTCACTGGAGTGTCCGGTGCCCATACAATGGTTTGGAAGATCTGAACTGCACGGTTAGCTTTGTAGCTCTGCTAACTCTCGAGACACTATGACTCTGGTATTACACTCTGTCTGAATAGACACTCCATGCATATAACCTTGTGCAGGAGCCTGAAATTTTAACTGCATGTCCAATTTCCTCTGTGGGAAGGATGGGTGATTTCATTAATGCACAAGCCGGGGAGTCAGGTGATCTGGGATCTGATCCCAGCTCAGCCACTGAAACACTGTGTGACTTGGGTCAAGCCACTTAACCTCACTGTGCCTTCGTTTCCCCACCTGAAACGTTGCGATGAGCCAGGCCACTCAGGCTAATAGCCTGCTAGTTTAATCATAAGTGAGTTGGAGAGAGGGCGTTTTCAGTGGGGGTCCTCAATACTAGGATTTTCTTTCTACACTGCTTAACCAGAATCCAAATCTGGTGTTCAGGTCACATTAAAAAGCCTATCTGTTTTCCTGTGGCCTTTTTCTGCTGTAGCCTTCTGCCCCAGGTAACCTCCCAGATTTGGCCTTCAATTATGAAAGGGTCAGAACAATATATATTCTATTATGATGGGATGATTTAGTGGGGTTGGTCCTGCTTTGAGCTGGGGGTTGGACTAGATGACCTCCTGAGGTCTCTTCCAACCCTAATCTTCTATGATGATTACATATTTCGATTGTGCATATTTATTAAGTGCACATTACCATGGGATGTGGGGATTACCTGGTCAACAGAAAGGCTTTAAAGGTTGGCAATGTTGTGTTGGACAAAATACCCACACTATGTCCACTTGAATGTAGGATGACAACCCCAGGCCATAGTGATTCTGGGTAAGAATAATGCCTCTCCTGCCAGTATACATTCATAGTGAAAAGGTAAATACTTCCAGAATCCTCTCTCAGCCATAGGCTCATCTAAATGCACAAATATAATTAGTGTTTAAATAGTGTTTAACATTTGCCAAATTCTTTTCTCCAGGAGGCAGCTGACTGTCAGGGGTAGGCTGTCTGGGCCCTTCTCTCTGTATGCGTGTGTGTCTCAAATACAGAGGATAGATGCTTACCTTTAGAAGGTGAATCCTGAGAAGCTGCTTCCTGCTTGGAAGGGGTGGGTTTTGTATTGCTGTTCCATTCAGCCAACTGCATTGGCCTCTTAGCATTATCCCCATCAGTAGGTGGAGAAGATGGCAGTGTGGCCGCCAGTTCCTTTGCTTTGGGTTTCAGCATGTCTAGAGTTTCCAAGGCTGCTGACTCATTCCCAGCCTTTGGGTTGGTCCTTCTGCATGACCCCTCTTGTTCAGGAGCACCTTGTTTGTTCTCCGGACCCCCTTGCAAATCCTGTCCCGCCACAAATTCCAGGCCAACCCCTTCCCTTGGGGTTTGCAATAGCACAGAGTTCACTACACTTTTGTGACACTGGATTTCCACACAGCTTTGTTTCTCCTCACATTTCTCTCTATCCCTTTTGGTTCCAATTTGGTAGGAGCTCTCTATATGTACATCTACCATTGTGCCATTGTTGTCTAACTGTTTTGCTGTCTGTCTGATCTCTATTAGCCCAGAGGTTTGGAGTAGTTTAGTTTCTTCTCCTTTCTGTTGTGTACAGCCCATGACCTCCTGTCCTTTGTCCTGTGACAAGTATCCATCCATCCCCCTGTCAACAGCAGAGGAGTATGGATGGCTATTCTGCTTCTCGTTCCCAGTGAATGTTTGTTCATCAGTCTCTTTGCAGACTTCCTCAACACTAACTCCACTGCCTAACTCTCCTAACTGGTCTGCTTGTCCTCGCTTCAACTTTGCAGGCTGACTTAACAGAGGACTAAGTTCTACTAGCGGATTACTGCAATGATTGTGTTCTACAATTCTATCTGGCACATCCACTGATGAACGGAAGCATTGTTCTGTCAGACGTGAGGATTCAGATGTAATCTGAATGCCAGAGTCTTCCTCAAGTCTGCAGTGTGGTGTGGAATGTCCTATGACCGAAACAGGAGAAAAATACACCCTGGCGCTGTCACTGTCTTCATGGGCTCTCAATTGATTTTGCATTCCCTCCCTAGCAGCAGCATTAAATGGAAGGGCTTCTGGGCTCAGCTCTGTGGTTTCTTTGCCAGTTTCTGCCCCACGGACATCGCTTTCAGCTTCTGTTTTTCCAGGAGTCTCTATTAATTGTTCCTTGCATTCAGCACTGTCTCCAGCACAAACATCATTGTAACTGCACATTGCATATCTCCAGTCTATCGTGTGCTCACTGTGTGCCCCTTGCCCCACGGAGGATGAACTCTCCGCACTGCTGGCTGGAGATGCAGCTGTGTGAAATTTACAGTCTGAATTCCCTACACTGCCAGGATCATTTGATTCCAGCTGACTTTTTGGTAACAATTCACCATGTCGCATCATTTTGTTGTTTTCCAAATGAATTACATTTTCATGAGCCCCTGAATAAGGGGTCCTTGATGTGTCCGTCTGACTGTGCTGCTTTTGTATAAGTGCTGAACAAACCAAGTTTTTTGAGCATGTGCTACTGTCCCGAAGGACAATAAGCCTGTGTTTGTCTTTCGAGACATTCACTCTGGGTCTGGGTTGAGTTCTAGAATTTAAGGCTATCGATTGGGTTAAGGAGCCCACTTGTGGCCCAAATCTCGGCAGTGAAACTTCCGTCAGCTCTACGTACTCTCCTTCAGGGTCACTTTCAGAATCCTCCAGGGGCACAGGACACACACCATTGACAACGGTGTCAGCTGATTCCTGAGTCGTCCTGCTAATGACCAAATTGTCCTGCATCACTTCTTGCTCCTGTGAAGCTTGAGGCCCAGGAGCAGGTGAGTCGCATTTGGGATGCTCCATTGGGAAGCACAAATTTGAAGATTCTTCAGCCATTTTGAGAGCTGTGATATTATTTTCAATTATTTTTGGTTTATCAATAAATTCAGGATTGACGACTTTATCCCAAGGAACCCGGAATATTTTATCATCAGAGGCTAGTAAACAATTTTCCAGAGCTGTACCCATCCGCTCTCCATTGATGGACTCCAACCATTCCACAGAAAAAACAGAGGTGTAGGAGACCTCTGGGACCACAACTTCCTCTACATTATGTTTGTCATTTGCCAAACATTTCAGTACTATTCGTGGCGACTTCTTTAGGTAGGGCACCACCTGCAGGTAGAAGTCACCGGGCTTTAAGGCTCGCCAGTCTATAGAGGCCAGCTGGACTATAATCTTCTCATGGACACAGAGAGGCCAGCCTTCATGGTGGAACAGCAATCCACAGTACTGAACCTGTAGGGAGGAGAAAAGCATTTCAGCACCAGTGATAGAAAGAGGTCACCACAGTCTTTGTGACAGAAAAAAATGACTGGCTCCCTATTACAGTTTGCAGTGTTGCTGTACTGTGTTTTGATCCTAGGATATGAGAGACAAGGTGGGGGAGGTCATATCTTTTACTAGACCACCGTCTGTGGTGAAAGAGTCCAGCTTTCAAGCTACACAGAGCTCTTCTTCAGGTCTGGGAAAGGTCAGAGTGTCACAACTACATACAAGGCAGAACAGATTGTTAAGCAAAATGAATTAACACATTGCAAGGTGGCCTCGTGCCTCGTTATTATCCCTGTTTTAAAGATGGGGGAAATGAGGCACAGAGATGTGAAGTGACCTGGCAAAGGGCACAGAGAAGCTGGATTTAGAACACAGAAGGATTCCCACATCCTAGAGCAGTGGTTCCCAAACTAGGGGTGCTGCTTGTTCAGGGAAAGCCTCTGGTGGGCCGGGCCGGTTTATTTACCTGCTGCGTCCACAGGTTCGGCCGATCGCAGCTCCCACTGGCCACGATTTGCCGTTCTTGGCCAATGGGAACTGCAGGAAGTGGCGCGGGCCGAGGGAGCTGCGATCGGCTGAACCTGCGGATGCGGCAGGTAAACAAACCAGCCCGGCCCACCAGGGGCTTTCCCTGAACAAGTAGCACCCCTAGTTTGGGAACCACTGTCCTAGAGCAATGCTCAAGCCAGAAGACCCCACCTCTCTCTGAGCTGTGACTTACTGGGGCAGAGGGAACTGAATGAGAAAGGAATTCCAAACATTCTGAACTTCACTAGCAACCAAGACAATGTATGTACCTAAGCCAATGCACCCAGACAACTGCTTACTTGTTGCAAATTTGCAGATGATTTACTGCACTAACATGAACAGTTTTCAAAGGCTGCAGGCAGAGTCTTTTACTCACTAGTGCAAGTGGCCAGACGCCTGCCTAGAATGAGACATAGGCTGTGCAAGCACTGGTGATGTTTGCCTGCCTTCACGTGCTCACAATCTGCACTAGACGTAGACCTCAGTACACAGGATACCAGCGTGCAGGTTGAGACTACAAGCTGCCTTTTTCCCTTTGCTATAGGCTTCTCTTCTCTATATTCTTTGTGGGCTATCACCGAAAGGATTCATGAGTGAGATGTGTTTTACAGAGGGATCTGAATGAAGAACATTCAAGCCTGTGCTAGCAAAGCAAAGCAAATGCTGAAGTGGTCAATATGGGTCCGGCTTAAGGTTTCTGTTTTCTTCTGTAGAACGTAAGTTCTCTGTTTTTTTAAACAGAGCTTTTGGAGTGTGTCTAACGCAGTTACACTAGGAGAATGACTCAATTCTGACAAGTATGGGCAAAGGGGCATCATTTCAGGAACCGGGGTTAAACCCAGCTGGAATATTGCACCAAGTAAAGGGCACTGCTTATCTGCCACTATTTGAGGGTCTACACTTGGGAGATGGAGGCCAAAAGATCTTGGCCCATGGTAGGAGGCCACTGCACCTGGCTGGCTGAAGGAGGTGCAGGTACAAGGAAAGTTGATGGAGGGAGCACAGCAGGGCTTCTAGCGGGAGGAGCAGTAGTCAGCCACCTATCCACAGGCTCTGGGAAAATACCCTCCAGTTGCCAGGAGTGGTTCTGAGCTGGGAATTAATCATGGATTTTTGGTCTGTCTCCTGATATTTGAATCCCCCCCGCCACGTGTGTGATAACTGCTTTGGCCATAGAATCATAGAATATCAGGGTTGGAAGGGACCTCAGGAGATCATCTAGTCCAACCCCCTGCTCAAAAGCAGGACCCATCCCCAATTAAATCATCCCAGCCAGGGCTTTGTCAAGCCTGACCTTAAAAACTTCTAAGGAAGGAGATTCCACCACCTCCTTAGGCAACACATTCCAGTGTTTCACCACCCTCCTAGTGAAAAAGTTTTTCCTAATATCCAACCTAAACCTCCCCCACTGCAACTTGAGACCATTACTCCTTGTCCTGTCCTCTTCCACCACTGAGAACAGTCTAGAACCATCCTCTCTGGAACCACCTCTCAGGTAGTTGAAAGCAGCTATCAAATCCCCCCTCATTCTTCTCTTCTGCAGACTAAACAATCCCAGTTCCCTCAGCCTCTCCTCATAAGTCATGTGTTCCAGACCCCTAATCATTTTTGTTGCCCTTCGCTGGACTCTTTCCAATTTATCCACATCCTTCTTGTAGTGTGGGGCCCAAAACTGGACACAGTACTCCAGATGAGGCCTCACCAATGTCGAATAGAGGGGGATGATCACGTCCCTCGATCTGCTCGCTATGCCCCTACTTATACAGGCCAACTCTTGTATACAGCATGATGTGCCTGTGTCCCCTGCACACCGACCCCCATTCGTTATGCACCCCCAGCCCCAGCCAGGCGATGGGCCCCTTGCTGACAGCGCCACCCCTGCTCCTCCTGCAGCTGTGGAGATTCTGCCCGGTGCAGGCGGCGCCTCCCGGCCTGCGAGAGCAGCCCCGGGGCACTCACCACGCCCAGGCCGGGCGACAGGGAGCAGCTCCAGCAGGGCTCCTCTTCTGCCGCTTCCCAGGGTGCAGCACAGAGAGGAGGCGGGAGGAAGAGGAAAGCACCGACCCACGCGCCGTGGGAGGGCCGGGGGAGGAGGGCAAAGAGCCGGCCCCGGAGCTGTGCGACTCGCTCTGCTTCTCCCCGTCTCCTCTCAGCCCTCCCGCTTGCCTACCCACCTCTCCTTGGCCACTGAGGGCCGGGAGCGCCAGCAGCCCGGAGGGGCTGTTCTCCCCCAGGAGGCGGGAGGTGGGAAGGCAGCCAGTTGGAGGGAAGAAGCTGCCTGCAGCAGGGGCCGAAGACCCTTCCTTCGCCGTGGACTTGCCAAGGTGGCAATGCCAGGCATTTGTTCAGGGGGGCTGCCCCACAGGCACTGCACAGCAGCAAGTCCCAGGGGGCTGCCACAAGGCCTCAGGCTCGCCCTGGGAAACCCTCACAACCGCCCCTTATTTCCCAGCATGCTCTGCCAGACCCTAGGGTCTGAATATGACGACCAGATGGACTACATATCCCAGCAGGCCTTGTTCTCAAAGAATGACTGGCTGGCATCACCAAGAGTCAGCTGATCCCCTCTGACTGGGAGGGGAACTGCGGCCCACCTGCCCCAGCCTTGGGCCCTAAACCTGAGGTCTGAAGAAGGAGCTTCTTTATAAACCCAAAGTGCTTCCCCACAACCCCTGCCTACCCCCCAGGGACCACATCTCCTGTTTCACAGGATCTTTATGGGCAAATCTAGAACAGGGTATTACTGAACGGGGAGGGCTCCCCATAAATCTCAAAGAGCCTGTACACTCTATTACAGACTGCAACCTGGCCTGCACCTCTGTGTGTACAATGTTAGATGTGCACACCTGCATATATACATTCAAGCATGAACACCTGCACATCCAGGTGACAGATTGCAGCCCGTGTGCATTTTCATATGTAAATCACAATTTTCATGCACTGACAAATAGATCACACACAAGTGTGGTAGTGCAAAGTAGATGTGCAAGGCTGCACACACACCAGCTGGAGGCCACTCACAAGCAGGCCAAACATTTTACAGTGTTGCCAACATTTGCAATTTCATCACAGTTCTCATGATATTTGTTGTTTTTCTTAAATCCCCAACTCCTGGAGGCAAGTGATCAAGCAAGAATCTCAGCTTTCAAAAAGAAGTTTCGAGCCCTCCTGGCTGAGGTGAAAACCATGAAAATGTGACCCAGGTGCACCCTAAAGGCTCAGAATCCAGAAGACCAAAAAAAAAAACCAAACAAACAACAAAACCCTGTGTATTTTTTTTTTTAAATCACACAATTTTTAAGCCAATCTAATGACTTTGGCGAGCCTGACTCATGATTGTGTAATGCTGAGCACTGGCAATGCTGGAAAATGCTAATCTCAGCATCATAGTAGCAGCAATGTAATGTGACTCCTCGAGGCTACTGAGTCTGGGAACATTCCAGCAACCAGCAACAAGGAGTGGGAGTTCTGGGCAAAACACCGACTGGCAGTGTTTCATCCAGAGTGTTCTCCTGCCAGCAGCAGAATCTGGCCTCCTACTACGTATCACTGAGGAGACGCTAGGGCATAGGAACTACCATATTCCAGTCAGGTGTACCTCAGTAAAAGTTCAGAAGGAGACTCAGCTAAAACTCCCTTCAGTCGGGGTCTCTGTTTACGCTCTACACAAAGGCACCAGCCCGCTTCTGATTTCTGGAATGCAGGTTTCAATAACTAATCCTCAACCACTTCTTGTCGATCTGCCTGTCCACCTACTATAAACTAACCATAATAATAAATAAATACATTAATGATACTTTTTGCCGGCACTTTTATGGACTAACGCTACAAGAAAAGTCTCCTGACAGGCCTCTGGGAGACAGTGATACTTACACAGGCATCCTGCTGAATGCACTGCAAGATGTGCTTTGCTGGAATCAGGAAATCTATGAGGTAGCGCAATCCATCCCCGCGGTACGTCTTCTCCACCACGTCAAAAACCTGGCACAGAACTGTGGCTGCTGTGGCCTCAAACGGAGGGTAGAGCACTGATAAGGTACTCTGTATGCACCTGTCCAGTGATTCGGAGTCCTGTCAAAAGAGAGAACATTAATGGCACCAAGATGCTGCATGTCCCAACCTCGCCTTGCATAGAACAGAGGGGATAGCATGCTAAGGACCCTCAAGACTCCTGGGGTGCAGCACCTGCAGGATGTAGGGCCTTTCAAGCAAGGGAGGAAGAGGAAGAATGAGCTTAAGTCCGTGTTAGCTTCCTTATTATGTGAATTTTCATGTAAAATAGTCTTTAAAATAAGCTCCCTCAGTGCGTGAGCGAAGCGCTCACAAAACAGAGAGCTGCGCCCGGTGCTGAGATCATCGCAGCATAAAGCTAACACAGCAAATCCTTCTCCCTGCTGAGTCGGGTGGGGCTGCAATTAACGTGTTATTACCGCACATCAGTGAAGTGGGGCGTGTGGATCTGCAGGCCCAAGTTTCAAACACCTTTTCAAACACTCCACATCTGGAAGCACCACTCAGCACATAGGTGTGTAAAGGCCGGTGTTCCATGCCTCTGAGGGCTACCGAGAGCCTTCATTAACCCCACCCTCTCCCCATGTTTGAAAATTAGACGTGCAGCAGGACAGGTGTAGCCACGTGGAGTGAGTGGTGATTTTCATAATGGTGCACCGTGCGTCAGATGCATCAGCGGGAGAAGTTGTTTTGTATGTGCTATTGGGTAGCACTCGGAGAGCCAAATGGTATGTCATTCTGATTTTTTCAGATAATTCCCTCAAAGTAATGAGCAGATGCTCGACTCCCAGGGGAGCTTGGTGGCCAGAGAGCTCCCACAGTAGCCTGAGCAGTGGGAGGGTCTCTACCGTCCGAGATACTCCCTGTAGATCCTATTCTGGCGTATGTGAGTGGGATCTCCCTTCTTTCTAAATACACAAATCTGCAGTGCTCAGTGATGGCACTTCCATTATTCTCACACTCATACCATTCCTGCAGCCCTATGGAAGTCTTCACGAGACAATTATTAACATGGGCATTGAGTCAAAACCTCTTGATAATGTTACAAAATTCCAATGTGCATATTATCCCACCTTTAGTGAAATAAGCACACAGAAAATAGCCATTGCATGTTGTCAGTGTTGTTTAATACAACAGTACAAACACAGAATATAGATAATACCTAAGTCCCCACCTCTCTTCAGTTACATCTATCCCCAAAAGCCCGCAGGAGTTGCGTTTGTGAGGGAGAAGGGATCCATTCTGTTCCTTATGTCGGAACAGTACAGAGATAAACGTTAAACACCAAAACACGGGAGTGTATACAGACCAGTTGTCTCTCACGGGGCACAGAGAGCACTGATGTCCTGGACAAAGAGCCCTGTGGCTGCAGCAGCAACATCCTTAGGTAAACATAAGACCATAAGAACAGCCATACTGGGTCAGACTAATGGTCCATCTAACCCAGTATTCTGTGTTCAGACAGCAGCTTCAGAGGAAATGAACAGAGCAGGGCAATTTTGAGTGATCAATCCTCCGTTGTTCAGTCCCAGCTTCTAGCAGTCAGAAGTTTAGAGACACCCAGAGCATGGGGTTCCATCCCTGATCATCTTGCCTAATAGCCATTGCTGGACCTATCCTCCATGAACTTATCTAATTCTTTTTTGAACCCAGTTATAGTTTTGGCCTTCACAACATCCTCTGGCAATGAGTTCCACAGGTTGACTATGCGTTGTGTGAATAAGTACTTCCATTTGTTTTTTTTAAACCTGCTGCCTGCTAATTTCATTGGGTGACCCTGGTTCGTGTGTTCTAGGATAAATAACACTTCCCTATTCACTCTGCCCACACCTATCATGATTTTATAGACCTCTATCATATCCCACCTTAGGGAAGCTTTTTCATACCCCTAATAATTTTTGTTGCCCTTCTTTGCACCTTTTCCAGTTCTAATATATCTTTTTTGAGATGGAGTAACAAGAACTACACACAGTATTCAAGGTGTGGGTGTACCTTGGATTTATATAGTGGCATTATGATATTTTCTGTCTTATTATCTATCCCTTTCCTAATGGTTCCTAGCATTCTGTTAGCTGTTTTGACTGCCTCAGCGCATTGAGCAGATGTTGTCAGAGAACTATCCATGATGACTCCAAGATCTCTTTCTTTACTTTCTTTACTGGTAACAGCTAGTTTGGACCCCATCATTTTATATGTATAGTTGGGATTATGTTTTACAATGTGCATTACTTTGCATTTATCACCACTGAATTTCATTTGCTATTTTGTCAACCAATTCCATAAGATCCATTTGTAACTCTTCATAGTCAACTTTGGACTTAACTATCTTGGCAAAATTTGAAGACAATACAAAATTACTCACCTCATTGTTTACCCCCTTTTCCAGTTCCTTTATGAATACATTGAACACAACAGGTCCTCGAACAGATCCTTGGGAGACCCTGCCATTTACCTCTCTCCATTGTGAAAACTGACCATTTATTCCCATGCTGTTTCCTATATTTTAACCAGTTACTGATCCATGAATGGACCTTCGCTCTTATCCCATGACTTCTTAATTTGTTCAAGAGTCTTTGGTGAAGGACCTTGTCAAAGGCTTTCTGAAAGTCCAAGTACACTATACCCACTGGATCAGCCTTGTCCGTAGGCTTGTTGACACCCTCAAAGAATTCTAATACACTGGCAAGGCATAATTTCCCTTTACAAAGCCATGTTTGTAAAGCCACTCTTCCCCAACATATCATATTTATTTCTATACCTGATAATTCTGTTCTTTACAATAGTTTCCAGCAATTTGCCTGATACTGAAGTTAGGTTTACAGGCCTGTAAGATGCGTTACAAAGATGTAGTTAATCTTCCCAGTCCTCAATCTGCTTTTGGGGGCTTGATTTTAAGCAATCTATGGACACAAAGAGTACCCACAATTATGCACCTAACTGGCAGTTACATGCACAAATGGCTGTTTCTGGGCACATGCACACATAGGTACCTGATTTGAGTGTGCAACTGTAGTAACCATGCACCTAGCTTGTTTACAAATCCAGCCTTTAACACAGACATTTCCTGAGTCTCAGTTTTAAGTAGGAAACCTTAATGATCATTAATGATCATTAATGGCACAAACAGGGATTAACTCATTAACACACTGATTGCTGCAACAGCACCTTCTAGCATTCTCTGCAGTTCCACTCAGCCACTGGCCCTTTGAGGGTGATGGATCTAGAGCAGCTCTCGAGATAAGCTTTGCCCTGTGTATGAGGCACTGTACAGTGGGTAGAACTAAAGCCATTCTAGGAGTCCATTTGGAAGCCAAGGGCTGGGGGAGCAGGTAATGGTAGGTGCTACACACGCAGGATGGCATGTCCCGATCCTGCTGGGTCCCAGACTCACTATGGGACCTTGGGCAAGTCCTCCTCATCTCCTTGTGGGTCAGTCAAGCCAGACTGGGAGACAGACTACAAAGTAGAACTTAACTGAAAACCAGATGCTGCCTCAGAGCTGCACTTTCTGAAGTAAATACATAACAGCTGCAATCAGCTGAAGTGTCTAAAGGGTTAACTGAATCTCTCTGGGGCAGCCAATTCACTATGCTCATTAAGGCAACTCCACCCCGGGATTCACTATGCTCATTAAGGCAACTCCACCCCGGGAATGCGGGAATTCTGCTGGTTTGGCCTACCTATTCATTTAGCTTTCAGAGAGGTCTGAAGAAACAGCCTCGGTGAAGGGCTGAAAGAGGTCAATATTGTGTGTCTAAAATACAAGTTTAAGCCAGTGAGCAGTGCAGTTCCTCCCTCGTGCTGCTCCAGCAAACACCACAGGTACCAGCCAGGTTTGGGGTTAAGGAAGAAGGAGAGTTGCTCCTCACTCTGTCCCTGCCCCCCAAACGCCATAGGGGTGTGAAGAGGAGGGGAGCGAACAGCAATGCCAGCTGCTCCATGCCCCCTCTGTGCAGGGGTTAGGGGTAAACACACATTACTAGGCTCAGCATTGCAACACCTATCCCCTAGGTGGGCACTACTGTCTAGTGCGCAGGTTGGGCATGATCTGAACACACCTGCTGGATTGGTCCCTCAGGTGAGATAGGTAGGGGAATGCCTAGTGTGAGTCCCATCGAGGCTTAGGTGTGAACGAGGCACCCCGCAGCTCATTGGCATCAGGAATTAGGTGGGTTTGCACATGCCCACCAGCAGAAATGAGGTGCCATGGAGACTTTACTGGTAGAAACGCAGGTGCTTAGGGAATTTAGGCACCTACAGCGTTAAGAGGCAGGTGAACCCTGGTTTTGAGGATCTTAGTGGTGTCTAAATGTTGGACTTAATGTGCCTAAAGTGGCAGTAAGGCTCCTAAGTCCCTTTGTGGATCTAGCCGCTGGGCCTTTTTGTGACCAAGCAGCACACATGCATATGTCTGGGCCCTGAATTGCTCAGAAAAGTAAGAATGGAGCTGTCAGAACTCACACTTGGCCACAGCCTGGCTCTCAGTTCCACAAGTGTCTACCCCTCACTGAAAGCCACCCATGCACAGGTACACTTCGAGGCGTGGTGGAGCATGGGAAGAAATGGTAGGGGCACAAAGGGAAAGTGAGGGAAAGATGTAGAGACTAGGAATAATAAAAAGAGGAGAGACCAACACAACAATGGACAGAGAAGAGAGAGAAATGGAAATAACGGAGAAAGCAGCAAGGTGTACGCAGTGCCAAGTTTAGCACCATTCTCCTTGGACCCCTCGCACTACCCTGCCTCAGCCAGAGAGTAAACCACAGTCCCGAGCTAGCCCTGGAATCTGCAGGAGGGAGACAGGAAGGAGAACTAAGCAGGGGTTCAACTTAGACTGCAACACCCTGAACAACCTGGACGAGAGAAGTACTGCTGAGCTCACTGCTAAGAACCACAGCAAGCGCTGGTTGAACATTTTCCACTGAAACTTTTTTTTAAAAAAATGGAAAATTGGATTTGACAAAATGAACCTTTTAGCATAAAATATCTACTTTCCTCAAAATGTTTCAATTTTTCATCCAAAAACCTAAAACTGAAAACTTGTGTTGGAAAACTGGAGG